ATTTAAAACATGCGTAGCTTATAGTTTTAAATATGTATTGCGAAACTCCCCACTATTCTCCAAAGTTGTAGAAGATTCTCGAGAGTTAGAATAAAAAGTATGTGTGTACGTAAATGCTTTAATTTGCATTGTTACGTAATCTGAATTTTCTAGAAAATCTTCCCACGCCTATAAATATAATCAACGCGACATGCCAAGAGAGTGTATCTGTTATTAGTTTGCTATAGTCAGTGTGCTATAATCTTCGAAAGCTATAACTGTGGTTGTTATAATGCTTATCAATCGGAAAACTTCAGATATTTGACCAGGAACCTTTACAAAGTTCGAACATTACAATTCATTTAACTTCAGTGGATTCTCGTCGGATATTAGTATTGTTGCGTCAGCAGAGGTCACGTGACTAGTATCACGCCACGTCGTTCTCGAACATTCACGTCCTTTCCTTAAATCTCGGGATCCTTCTAGATATAGTGTAGTCTTGTATATATAAGACGGTCACAAATTGACGGCAACAATGTGTGTAACTGAACGGAGTATTGTTGAGTCGAGCACGTGAGACGTTCCTTGAGAATTTTAGCGTTTGTAATAGCGCGACTGTTGAAATTAGGTGTATTACAAAGTTATATTCAGAAAGAATAAACCAGTTTTATTTAAGAAAGGACTTCTATCGGTAAAGTTTCGTCGGAACGAATTTACGGAAAATTAACTAACGAACGGAGACGTAACAATATGTAGAAGTTTTGAAGTTGGCATTACTCCCTTTCCAAGTAATAGTAAAATATACGTATATGTAAATACAAAACAAATGTTATATGACAATGCTAAGATACAATGCAAGATTTATGGTTAAATTCGGTAAACATTGTATTGCTGTTGCTATGTGGATCCTTTCGTATTCAATGTACATGATGTTTCAACTCTTGCTGGAGCCTTAGTTTTATTTTATTGTTTTATATGTCCGACACTCATTTTTTTAGATTATTTCATAACATTAAAATGATATTTTATCAAATCTATGGGGATAATTTTGCATTATACTCTTTTTCATTTAAGTAATACAAAGATAAATGTACTAAATTGTTTATCAGCATAAACATGATACTAAAATAAAAAATGGTGATCTTATAATTTGTAATAGATTTAGCTACCAGTTTTATCAAGAAAAATGTCTGGAGATGACGTTGAAACTTGATTTAAATACATCTAGTTTCAAAGACAAGTAATTCACAAGGTGAATGTGTTTTGTTAACGAAATTTTCAAACGTTTTTTACACTGATATACGTTGATACACAGGTTTGCTTACAGCGTGCAGACAACCAAACAGCTTTGAACTGACTGCATTGATTTTATTACTGAGATAGTAGTACATCTGCTGAGCTTTTACTATAATAGGTGTTCTGACCACATCAATTATATGGAGGTCTCTGTCTTCCCTATTTTTCTTAATGGGAGTGACCAAATGTCGCGGGTGATAAATGCACTCTAGAAGAATTGACCTTATCTAAATAAATACATTGAGATGATTCTCCCAGTCTTCACCAGATTCAGATACTTGATCTTGCCTAACTCTTTCTTTCTCTATCTACTTCAGAGATAGAAACTCAGTTACTTGCACGTTACACATTTATGGTATTCTCAGGTGTATTGATTACCTTAGAGATAACTATAGTAATCAAATAGCTTGAGAAACATTTGGAAATGTCTCACAGAGTTAAATTGGATGTTTTTAACTCTGAGTTTGAAACGGAAATAGACTAAATATAGTGTGAACAAAGTAAAAGTATTTTTATTTATGATAAAAGTCAGTGAAGTTGACAAGTAGACTAGAAAATAGACAATACTTCACTGGAGAGCAATTAGCTCTAGACTCTCTTTCAGACTAAAACTTAGTTTTGTTTGTTTGTTTGTAATTAAACACAAAGCTACACAATGGACTATCTGTGCTCTGCCCACCACGGGTATCGAAACCCGGATTCTAACGTTGTAACTCCACAGACATACCGCTGTGCTACTGGGGGGGGGGCTAAAAGTTAGTCCATTCTGTAATCTCTTCCTGGCTGAGAGAGCACAGCACTATATAACAAACTCTACTTAATGGGTTTGCTCTACCAATGTCAGTGTTGTTCATTTTAATATAAAAACAGGAAAGGTATCACCTGACCCCCAATGGAAATTATATCTGTCAATCTTTCTCACAGCAAAGCGTATTTGACACCAAAGAGGAATGGCCCTGAACAGTGGATAACTAGGATGAAAGGAATTTGGCCACATGCTATTGTTAAAACCACATATATGGCCAGAAACGTGCATACGCGAAAAATCTTGAATATTTTATGCAAACATAAAGCACTCGCCTTACTAAGTTAAAGAAGAACGTAAACACTAAATATACTCTGCATACTACATATTCAACACTTGCAACACGTATGTAGAAGTGCTCAAGAAATGTTCAGCTTCATAAAGTGAGGGGAAAATAAACACATACCATAATGATAAATCTTGCTGTCTAGTCTATTTCATTGTTTCTGTTAAATCAACGTTCAGATACATTGTGTAATACATTTTCTGCCGAAACTTTTGTTAGATCAGTTACTAACATATTTCTGGGAACCGTTCTTTAGAATACCACAATCGTACTTGCAAATATAGGCTGGATAGAAGCATGCTCACATTCTAATTTACTACTATTATAAATATTCTATATTTAAGTATAATAGTGAATAAGCAGATTATACTTTAAAAAGTTTCGATACCATTGTTTGTAGAAGGGCACCCCGGTGGGAAAGCGGTAAATTAACAGACTTACAATGCTAAACTCCGGGGTTCGATTCCCCGTGGTGGCCACAACAGCTAGCCAAATGTGGCTTTGTTCTCAGACAAACAAAACGAAACAAACAAATTTCTAGAAGGTATTATTAAATTTATTCATAACTGTTTTCCGTACAAAATTACCATTATTTATTATTTAAAATATTATCTACTTCATTTGATTTACACAACTTGAAATTTATTTTTAATTGATTCAAATGTTAAAATCTGAAATAAATATATAAATATATACGCATTTTTAAAAATATTATTATTGAATTAACGTGAGTTTCGAAAAATGCTAACGTTGGCTCAGCCACGTTTCATGTTGTACTTGTACATGTTCGTTTTATGTTTGGCGATGAGGCGTTTGTAACAATATTTATTAATTGTGTTTGGTTATCGTACGTGTTCAGTGTAACTTGTCGGTTTGTGCGTTTCCTTTAAATTTTAGAGGACGCGTTAAATAGTATAAATGATATTAGTGTTTAAGATCTACTGCGTGCAATTACAGGTTATAAAAATAAAATAAATTCTGACAGCGTGGGTGTGTATATACTGTTTACTTTAGTAAATTTATAATACAGTTAAACTTATAGTATACGTGAAACACCTTGTTAAGACTTATCGCTACCACTGAATCGCAAATTTCACTTTTTATTTCTTACCATTGACCAGCTAGCCTATTAGTTTTACTGATCTAATAAGTTAATAAATAATAGTTTAAGTTTCAACTTTAAGCCTACGCCTGTCATTTTTTAAGCCCAAAGTTACGTAGCACAGAGAAAAAAATGGTAAGTTGGTAAACCTAAACTTGTTAATGTTTTTGTAAAGCTAAGTTATCAAAATCTATAGCTTAACAGTTTTCTTACTTTTATAATTTACTAACCTAATTAGGCTCATGTTATCTTATTGTTAATGCTAAGTAATAGTACTATAAATTGTAACATTGTAAGTTGTAACACTAACAATGACACAGTCGAAAAAATAGCAAGAAGTTTATTTTGTGATAGTTCCACTAATTCTACTTGAGATCGTGAGTTCAGGATGTATCACAATCGTGTTATGTTTTATTGAATTATTTAAATATATATTTGATTTACAGTCTTAAAAAATAAATCCCATCATTCCTTACTATAATACTATATTGAGATAACACACTTGGTTGTCAATTGTTACTAAAATTAGTATAATATTCACACACAGTTGCAATGTATTCCATATGAATGTATCTCATATGTATTATATTGTATATGTAATTTGCTAGTACTGTAATAGGGTATTCCAGATATTTGTTAACACAATTTATAAAAGTGACCATTTGTAAATTTCAAGAAATTTATTGGACTTGTAAAGATAGTGAACTTTCTGAAATGACCTGTATAATTAATGTTTAGTATCTCTCTTGTGCATCAAAATGTGCTTTTCAGTGTTTTACAATAAAAATTCTTAGAACAATTTACTTCATTGTAAAAAGCCAGCAATTTTATCTTAAATCTTAAAAGTTAGATAACTAATACTAGGCAAACATTATGATTATTCATATGTTTTGTTAAAATCCAAACTATTATAGGTATATAAGTTATTTTAGATTGTTTGGTAATATTTACAAAACCTCTATCTTCATTATTTTTAACAATGTTGAAAAGTGCTCTAGATTATGCTTATACATACATACATGGACATATAAGAACAAGGGACCCTCCACTATACTAAACTATATAGTTTTAAATAGAAAGGTAAATGAAACATTACAGTAACAACTGGGAATATGTTAATTTAAATGCAGTTTAAGTGGTGATTTAGATGATTATTGATTGACATGTTTTTGATGGAGAGGAAAATGGCTCAGGAAAACATGATTGAAACTTTTAAAATTAGAAGTAATAAGATTACAGGATAAAAGTATAAGATATGGAAAGCTCAGACATTGTTACTTTTAGAGTAGTCAGCCTGTAGAATCGATTATCTTCATGTGTAGTAGAAATATAGCTGTTGGTAGAGTTTGAAGAAATTTTTAGAGATAAACATTGAATATAGTGAAAGGAGTTTATGTATCTTGGAGTAGAAAGGTAGAAGAAAATGATGTACCACACATGGGACAAAGGCCCCTTGTTATACCCCTCATTTTTAATATTAATGAAAATCATTTATTGGAAAAACTTTAGAATTTTTTTAAAGTTTCGTGAGGACATTCTATGCTTGGGTATTTGTAGTTGTATAGAAGATGTTGAGGTATTACAGAATGACTTGAATCAATTGGTAAATTGGATTAATATTTAGCAAGTAGCCTTTAATTATAGTGAAAGCAAGGTAGTCCATACAAGTTTTAAATGGGATCACATGTTTAATAGAGATTGGGAATTAACTCAGTAGTGTGGCTGAAAAAAGGATTTTGGTTTAGTAGTAAATAAAACATTCAAGCTATCAAAGCAATGCTCCTTTGCTAGATATAAATCCTATAGAATTTCAGAGTGTATTTATAGATGTATTGATTAAAAGTGGAAAGAGGTAATTATCCCTCTGTAAAAATCATGTGAGAATGATGCAGAAAAAATATGCATGTTATAATATTAAAAAGAAAACTGATTTATAGAGCCATGTATCAGAGCCATTTCTTGACTTTAGTGTCAATAAAAAATATGTCAGAAAAAATGTCTGTACAAAAGCCATCTTATGGAGCCAACATTTGAACTCCAGCTGCTATTGTAAACTTAAGATTTTATTGAGGAACAGCCATATATTTAGTCATGAGATGATAACGTTTTAAATTGTCAGTTTTTTTTTGTATGTATAAAATTTACATTTGAAACTTATTTCAGCCACTGAAGTTAGATGTGAAGCGAAAGTTGTTAGCACGATCTGACAGAGTAAAGTCAGTTGACTTGCATCCAAGTGAGCCATGGATGTTAGCAAGTTTGTATAATGGAAATGTTCATGTTTGGAATCATGAGACTCAGGTATGTGCTACAATTGAAAATATAGAAAAATATAGGCTTTAAACTATTTTGCTGTGATTTGCATTGGTGATGGATATTTTCAATAATTACATGTTATTTGATTGTGTTCAAGCACAACAGTTGTAGTGTCAATAGAAACAGTCTTATTACTATGGGAAACTTTAGATTTAGAAAAATTTATGAAGTAACATTGTTTCTTCTCATTATACCACAAAAATCTATTGGATTTGTAGGGATGTTTTTTTTTTTCTGTCATATAGGATACATATAGATTCTAATAGATATTATCACTAAAGAGGGCATGATTAGAATACAAAAAGCTATTATTTGTTGTCATTAAGTTCAAAGTTTTTATTGAAGTCACTAGTAGTTAGCAAGAGTTGTATGAATAATTTTCAGAAATTTCAAGAGGTATAATAGATATTTAATATAACATAATGTTTTGGGGCAACGTGGTCCATCTCGGCCTCCCCATCCTCTAAACTATACTAAAACTATTATAAAATAAAATCTTAAAGCTAGTCCTTATCATTCATATACTTTTCAAGCTTTCTCTTGAACTCACTTAAATTTACTGCCTCCACAACATCCTAAGGCAACCCATGACCCACTAGCACATAAATGTGGGTAGAGTGTCTTTGGTTTTTTTGGAGGAAAGGAAAACAAAAAGGTCAGAGAAGGATGTGGATGATAAGGAGGTTATGGTTATAGGTGATTCCTTGACAAGGCATGACTATAGAATAGTCTGTGGGGAAAATAGGGAGAAAAGAAAAATATTAAGCTATCCAGGGGCACAGGTGGAGGATATAACTGACAGAGCAGGAGATATAATAAAGGGGGCTAGCAAAGATGCAGTTTTTGTGGTGCATGTAGGGGCTAATTAAGTAGGGAAAGGTCAGAGGAGCTAATTAATAAGTATAAGGGGTTGGTAAAGGCATTTCAAGAAAAAGGCCATAACTTAATTTTGTCAGGGATACTGCCCAGAATTAACTGTGGGGATAATGTTATAAATAGGTCATTAGGGCTAAATGTTAGGCTTAGGTTAATATGTAAGGATGAGCAGATTGGCTGGTTGGACTTGTGGGATCAGTTCAGTGGAAGAAGGGAGCTCTTTGCAATGGATGGTTTACATTCAAACAGAGTAGAGGCTGGCTTGTTTGCAGCTGCTATTAACTCAACTGTAAGGGAAGTACTAAACTAGGACTAGACAGTGATGAGGGCCAGGATAAACTAAATGCAAAAAGAATAAGAGGCAGAGAAATGTTTAGAATAGGAAATGAGTATAGAAGTAGTTATAAGGATAGGCTTAATTGTTACTATTGTAATGCTAGAAGTATAAGAAATAAAATAGATGACTTTAGAGCACTGGTTGGAATGGAGGATTTTGATATAATGGGAATAACTGAAACATGGTTAAACATAGATGATTTTGATGACAGAATTTATTTTTGAAATACAGGATTATAGGCTATTTAATAGAGATAGAGTATTAAAGATGGGAGGAAGAGTGGCTTTATATGTAAAATGTGAGTTACATGCTGTTGAAGTTGAGGATATCA